ATAAACTTATAGAATTAAAATAAAAAATTTTTTACTAAATTTGAATAAATAGTCATTAAGAAATCATTATTTAATTTATTATAAGTTTGGTTAACCAAATTTGTATATTTCTCAATCAAATTGTAATATTATACAAACTTCTATTTTGATCTATTTTTGATAACTTGTAATCTAGTAATCAGATATTAGTAATTTTAGTGCTATTCGAATTGTCTTGATGAGATAATTTGAATAGTACTAGAATCACTACTATCTGATTACTTAATCACGAATTATCAAAGATAGATCAAAATAAAAGTTTGTGTAATATTATGAATTTGATTGAAAAATATATAAATTTGGTCAACCAAATCTATAAAAAAGAAAATTTTGCTCAATTTTAATTTTTTCTGATATTCTAAGATTTTTTGATAATTACTTATCTAATTTTATTGATTTTTTTTATTTATTTTATTTTAATTTTACAAATATAAGTTATAGAATTAAAAAATTTTACACTAAATTTGATCAATTAGTTATTGCTGCATTGAAAAAAGATTTTAATATGTCTTATAACTATGACTTCATATTTATTTTATTACAAACTGTTTTGTTGTCATATTGCTATAACTTTAGTTATAGCAAATTTTAGTTATTATCATTATTATTACAGACTATGTTACTATTATAGCCTATATAACTATTATAGCTTATATCACTATTATGGCCTATATCACTATTATAATTTATATTATTGTTGTGACTTATATTATTATAGCACTTTTGATGTGATGATATATTAATCAAATATAGCTATATATTTTCAAATATCTGTATCTATAGATTCTTGTACTACTAGTGTTTAATTACTAAATATAATGCTTGCAATTTTTGTAGTAGTTATAGAGTCTAATTTAATATGAGTTCTTGTATTGCTTTAATAATCATAGAGCCTAATTACAATTTAAGATTCTTGTAATATTATTATAATTGCAAAGCTTAATTACTAAACATGAAATTCTTTACTGCCCACAACAGCAAAGAGTCTAATTACAATATAGGATTTTTATAGCTAATGTTTAGCATAATCAAACAAAAATTTGATAGTCAAATATATATTATACTTGTAGTTAAATCAGATATCAAATAATTAAATACCATATATATATATATAATATTGATTAATCTGCAATTTTTTGATATCTGACTTAATCACAAGTAAATGAACTTAAACTTACAGAACTAGTTAAACATCTCCAATCTCATCTTATTGATAGTAATGCATCTTGGCTTCGTTTAAATTTTTCTCGTGTTTATCAAATGAGCTACCTTAATGAAAACTTTGAACCTTTACAACAATTTTACAATGATATAATTGTAAAACATCCGAGCATGATTTTTAACTCTGATGATTTCACCAATCTTCAAGAGAATGCTTTAATTACTCTTTTAAAGAATGATGATTTACAAATGGAAGAATCTGAAATTTGGGATAAAGTAATTCTATGGGGAAAGGCGAAAACTCCAAATTTACCACCTGATCTTAAAGAATGGACAGATGTGAATTTCGAATCATTAAAAACTACCCTTCAACATTGTCTTCCTCAAATTAGATACTTCCAAATTCCTGGTAAAGATGTATTAATAAAAATTAAACCTTATCGTAATATTCTTAAGAAAAATATGTGGGATGATATTATGTCATATCTCGTAGATCCAGATATACCTATAACTTCTCAAATTTTACCTCCTCGTAAAAAAGCTATAGCACAACTTCCTCTTCGCGAAACGTCAATTATTGTACCATCATCTTCTATAATTACATTACAGCATGCAGCAGAGATTTCTTCATGGATTGATAGAAGGTCAACAATTTATGATATCATAAACATTCCATATAAATTTAAACTTTTACTTAGAGGCAGTAGAGACGGGTTCATGGGCGAAGTATTTCATATGCTTTGTGATAACATACCTGGTACCGTAGTTGTTTTAAAAGTCAGCAATACAGATGAGATTAAAGATGAGATACTTGGTGGTTATAATCCACTTATTTGGAAAATTAGCAATAAAATTCGTGGTGAGTTTGGTGCAACAGCTGATAGCTTTATTTTTCTTTAAAAAATGGAATCACAAATGAGTCTATTCTCAGTCGTGTAAATAATGTATCAAAAGCAATCTATTATGGTGGTATAGGTCCATGGTTTAGTGGTAATGACCTTGGAATGAAAGTGCCAGAAAAAAAATGGTATTGTTGTGAAGATGCATATGATAAACCAATCAGAAGTGCAGATAGAGATTTTTATATAGATGAATATGAAGTATTTCAAATTTGTAAAAATACTTAACAATTTTATTGGTTATTATAGTTATTGTGCATTATTATTAACGTATTATTTCAATTAGTTGAACATTAATATTTATTAGGTTAATATATTACAGTCAGACCTCTTTAAATGCAACCTCCCTAAATGCAGTACCTCTCTAAATCACCTCAAGCTCTGGCCCAAGTATATTTCTGACCCTCGTAAATGCAATTTTTCTTAACTGCATGCTATCAAAAGTACGGTCCCAACGAGTTGCACTAGGGAGATCTGACTGTATATACTTTAAGTATATTACCATAATTAAAATCTTTTAAAGTTTACAACTCTTGTTAGGTCAAAGATTAAATTTATTTGCAAAATTAATTTGAAATATTATTGCACAAATTATACCTTTAGTAATTTGACAATGGTAGTATTGGTTTTGAATATTTTGCAGCTTTGTAAATCTTTAAGCCAAAATCATTAAAGATATCACCAAATTTAAATATAGTTAACCATTCTTTATAAAATCAATCTGAAAAAAAAAATATAAAATGATTGGCCATCGAATAATGCTAACATCACGAGAATAGCTAATTATATACCTATAAGTATAAGTACAATATTGGGCAGTAGATGAAAAAACTGTTATTTATCATATGCCCAATATAGATGTTATTCGATATTTATATATGACCATGTGATGTTTTTCCTGTGATATTTTTGCACAATTGATTCCGTAATTTCATGCAAAAATATCAAGAAAAAGATTCAAATGAAAAATGCTGCTATGTACTCCGGTCTTATTCAAAAAACTCGACTAGCTTGAATAGTACCGGAGGAGGACCTCGATAATTTTCTTTTTTGAGAGAGGTTATTTGAAAACTAGATATTGGGCGTGAAGTTTATATATTAAATGGACAATCAATAAATAGGTTATACTTGTATTTTTGCTAATGAATTAAGATAATAATCTTATATTTGAGATGTGCTAATAGAAATTTAAAAAAAAGCTTTCTGGGATGTTCTGCAGAATAGTTGGGTAAACTTCGCAAACTCTACCAAGTATCACATTGAATATATTAAAAAATTCTATGATTACTAATTATCAGCGAAGTTTATTTCTTATATTACCCATCTATTCTATAGAATATCCTAAAGGAATAAAAATGGTTTTTGTGATATAAATATTTAACTAATTAAAAAGATTAAGCAAGTTCTAAAATTCTGATATATAATATTTATGCTTATTGGTATAATTCTGATTATTTTGTAAACTTCTGACTTTTTACAAATTGAACCTAAATATTTATTTTATAATTTGATTTAAAAGATCTTTATATTAATAACTATAAAGTAATCTGCTATTCAATACAAAATCTTTATATATAAGCATTTATTTAATAAGAACCTCAATTTCAATTGTTTTGATAAAAGATTACTTTCAGTAGGTTGTTGATAGTGCTCTTCATTTAAATTTTTAAGATTAGCTTTATAAGTTTTAATTGTAAAGAATTAACTATCTGGTTTAATTCAAAGCTTTGAATTAAATTTTTATAAGCAAATTGTTATACGTATATGAAAAGAAAAAAATAGGGTTAAATTGATTAGAAACAAATAATATTTTAAAGAAAATTTTACCAAACTATATATTATCTAGGTTGTAAAAAATATATAAAAAATATATAATAAATATTAATTTTCACATTTAGTTTGAAAACTTATTTTAACTCTTAGACATATTATTTGACAAAGAAAAAATAACCCAGACGTAATTAGTATTATAACACTGAAGAGCTAATCAAATATTTCCAAAAAAAAAAATTAAAGATTCATATTTTAAAAATTTTTATAAAAGACGATTAATAATTTTACTGGTTTATTCTCATGATGTTTTACTATTGACTTTATACTTCCAAAATAATTCTTTTAATTTTTTTTAATTATTTTAATAAGTTGAAAAGGTTCATAGTTTTTAAGATCTAAAATAAATCTTATTAGTTTTGTTATTGGTTCTTCTTTCATAACAACAGATTTTTCTTCAGTAATTTAAAAAATTTAATCCAAGTAATCTTAATAGTTTATATATATTTTTTTTCACGAAGCTGTAAAATTCAATTTCGAGCTTTATTTTCATTCTGATTTAAATTGTTAAATTAAATAATATTATACAATTCAGAAAAAAAGAATTTATATAAATGTTAGTAACAGAATGCAAGAGTATGTATTTTATATTGTGAAAAAAGTTGACAATGTGGTGATATTTTCAAGCAATGCTATTTAGGAATTGCATTAAAGCTTTTGCAAATAAAATGCGAATAAGAAGACACGTTGGCTTTTAATACCAAACAAGGAAATCAGTATCGAATATAAAAGAGGTGTTTCAGGTGAGAGACTGGAAGGTAGTTTATGTGGTAAATGGAATAGGAAATATATAAAATAAGATACTTGAAAGTAAGCCACAATTCTTTATATCGAGTTTATTTTACAATGGTCTGTATTGTACAAGTAAAGCCAAATATCAAATAGATCACAAAAAAGGAAAACGGGAAAATTTTGAGGGATAGTGTAAAACAGATGCTTGGTATAATAGCAGAATCGGATTACAACATATGATGAACCCAAAGCAAAAAGTGCGCATGAGAAAAGATTAAACAGTGGATAAGTGGTTATTCCCTCTTGCGTGATTTTATTGCATTAAGGCTAACCAAAATATTAATATTTATAATTATATACATTTACATAATTTACTTGCCAAACTTCATAATCTTCTATTTCAAAATGTGATGCTTTTGAAAAATTTTTTGAATCAGGATAACAACTACGTCTACCAAAAGATAATATGTTATTATATATACACATATCATACCCCTCTTTGTAATCAGAATGCCCAAAAATTGGTCCATTTAAAGGACTATATTCAACTGCATAAGAGCCCTTTTTAACACGTGCAAGGTTTGAACGACTTAAATCATAAAAAGTATTCTCGAAAAAAAATAAAAAATTTTTATCAGATTTTGTGTAATTAGCCATGGTAATATTATCCCGAGGTTCATAAGGTTCCCAACTTAAATGATTATAACCACCAAATATCATTTCTGATCCTTTAATCTTTACTATTGTCACGGTTGATCCTTTTTTATCACATAAATTATGAAACTTTTCTGCTTCAAATCCATCCCTTTGGGCGCAATAAAGAAGTTTAAAATAATAAGAATTACTAACAAGATTGTAATTACTAAATCTAAAATCGTCAAAGTAATTTTGTAAACTAGTACTTTCTCGTTCCTCAGGTTTTACACTTGATTTATCATTCAAATTTAATATCTTTTCCATAAATGATTGTCTTTTCCGTTTAATCTCAGGGGTTTTTTCAACAGCACACATACTAATCCAATTCGCAATAATATTGAAGCATTGCGGATTAACAAAAGCTATATGATTGGAAGGAGTATATCTGGATGGAAATGTTCTAAATGTCTTGTTTGGCATAACCGAATTAAGGTGATATTTTATGATATCATGATATAATTCATTATCTAAAATTTTTTCAAAGAATAATAAATTTTGTTTAAATGTTGTTGATGAAATTTGAAACCAATGAATTAAAGGAATTAATTCGTAAATAGTCATTTTAAAAGTCAAATAATCATCTTCTTTCCATTCATTAATGTTTTTACTTTGAAGAATGTTTGATGCTTGAGAAATTCCCCATATTGCTAAATAATTCCAAATATCATCTTCACTTATGTTGCCAAGATCATCCCGTTGTAAAATAATTTTTAATAGATATTTATCTAATTGAGTAAATTTTGGATCATCAAATAATAATCTTGGATTCATACAAATATAATAAAGAAATGTATCGCGCAGCGATTCATATATCCTATTATTATATTTAAAAATTGTATCAAATATGAAAACAATATCATCTCGCATAATTTCTTCAAGTTTCTGATTCATAAGAGGCTGAAAATTATCAATAATATTTTGAATTTGTAGTTCGTCAGCTGCCATCAAGAGTTGCAGGATTTCAACACCATTTAATTTATCTATAGCGATTTCTGATATATATAAATATCTTTTAAAGAAAATAAGAACATTTTATAAGAAGATAAGAATAGGGATTATATTTTAAACAAACCCAACTTTTAATTTACCTTAAAATCATTTCAAATATAGTCGCTGGAATATTAGGTTTTGTAAAAACAAAACAATTTTCTTGTTTTATAGTATTTTGATCAGAAAAAGCAGCTTTAAAGTAAAAAGAATGTAAACCTAATATAACAGAATGTGCGTGAAACTCTTTGGAATCTTCTCCTTCACCAGCATGAATAATAACGTCGAAACCTTTTCCACTTTGAAGTAATTTTTCATTATCATTAACAATATCTTCATAAGAAGAGAATTTTCTATGAAGAGACTTTCTAGGAGCATCTTTACGAGTTTCTTTACTATCCTTGGGTGGAATATTTCTTGGTGGCAAAATTTGCAACATTTCTGGTGGTGTGGTATTGTCAAAATGATAATTAATAATGTCTAAATACAGTTTTGAAGGTAAAATTTTTTCAATCCACGATAAATTTTGTCGAAATTCAGATATTGGAATATGAAACCAACGAATAAGAGGAACACAATCATTGATAACTTTTTGTAATTTAATATAATCGGATTTTTCCAATTTAGTTATATCCTGAGTAGTAGTTAATATTCGAGCAATTCCCCATTTGACTAAATAATTTAAAATACTAATTTCACTTAATTCACCAAGATCATCTTGTTGTAAGACAATCATTAAAAGAATTTCGTCCAATTGAGTAAAATTTGAATGATCAAATAATGCATTTGGATATTTACAGATGATTTGAAGACAGTATATGCGTAATGAATCACATATACTATTATTATATTTAAAAACTTCTTGTAATATGCTAACAGCATCATATCGTACAAATTCTTCTAGCTTTTGATCCAAAAATAATTGTATATTATCAGAAACTTTTTTAGAAAGAAATTTATCAGCCGCAATACGAAGATGTAAGATTTCGACACCAGTTAATTCATCTAATAAAATTTCTGCAATATATAAATATCTAAAATATATAATTAATTAATAAAAATTAACATTCGTAAAACGGGATTATAACAGATAATATAGTATTACTATATAAGAGATCATTATAAAATACCTTAAAATAATTTCGAATGTAGTTGAAGAAACATTTTGAATATAAAAAATATAGAAATCACCATCTTTTTCAACATTATCATCAGAAAAAGCGGTTTCAAAATAAGGTGAACGTGCAATTAAAATAGGTGAATGCGCAAAAAATTCTTTTGAATTCTCTCCATCATCGACGTAAATTATAACATCAGAATTATATTCGTTTAGAAGTAACTTTTTATTATTACGAATAAGGTCTTTATAAGATTGGGAAGTCATTTTTTTTTTTTTTGTTTATTCGTTATTTATGATTTAGAGCATGAAACGATAAGCCAATTTATCGAATATCATTGAAACAGTAACTGAAACACGGTTACATATATTTCTGTATTACGTGCAGTTTATATTACGATATAAAGCAACTATAAATATATATGGTTTCTTGTATACGTAACTATGCATGTAAGCTGGCTAAATTCCTGTAAGTTTAACCAAAATTATAAAACAAATAACGATAACCCGTGATAATGCAACTCTATTTTTACCAAATGATAAAAATATTATGTATATCGATATTATATATATTGTTTATGTCCCGTGATCCTTCCGAACGAATAGTTCCGATTAATAGATCACGAGATAACTGTATTACAGAATATCTTTTTGCGCCATGATTATCGGTGCTAAAATGGCTGATACTATTTTAAACCGAAGATTTTAGAGTTTTATGGCTAAAATTAATATTAAAAAGTATAAGTGGAGTTTATTCTTAAACAGAGCCCCAACATTAATTAAAATTGTCTTAGTGAATTTATAAATAGATTAATCTTTTTAATACGTACACATTGTCAATGATCTATTGCGCTCTCACATTAACATATTGAATCTTGATATTCTTAAGTATTACAAGCATATGGAAAATAATAGAAAGGCACTCGTTTTCTGTTATGCAGCACATGCGATATTAATCCCAATGAAAGAATTTGCTGCTATTTTTGCATAGTTGATTACGTTGAAAGACCCGAAATCGGCGAGTCTGTCGCTTGGTCGAAAGTTGCTTCATGTAACCGAAGTTTTGGTTACAATGGGTCGAAAGAGGCGTGTTAGATTTGGCGAGTGGTTAATAACGAATGTGTATAGTTTATTATATGACTTAGGTGTTTATTATTTAGGTGAAACGGGTGTTATTCTTCCTGAAGGGCCAAAAGGCCTTTATTTATGATTGTGGATTTGTATATTTACATTTGCAGGATCATAAAGATCTTTATTATTGTTAATAAATCCAGATTGCCTTATAGCTAATATTATTACTATTCACCATATTGCTGAAATTATCCCTATTGTACTAATCCTCCCAATATCCTAGATCTGAAGTATTGGTGGAATCGCACCGATCGGGTAAATCGGGCCGGGAAGCCTAAATTTGGAAATACCCGAAGTCACGAGGGCACGTGCCTGCTTCAGGTCACGTTTCCGGTTTCACCATGACTGGATAGAAATCAAATTCTCCGAAAATGAATAATACGTATTATTTTATTATTGTTGTCTTATTAAAATACAAAACTCATTGAAGCATGTATAGCTAGGCCTCTAGATTGACGTTAACTGTTTTTACTACATTAAATCAATTTCTCGTTAATAAACGTTTAACAAAATTCGACTCAAATAAAAATGGTAAGAATAATAACTCATCTTTCTTGGAACAAAGAAAAACTAACAAATGAAATGCGTAAGAAAAATAAAAAAAGCAAACAAAAGAAATTATAAATATGTATCGATATACAGTACACTCCGTAGCTAGAGTAATATAGTTAGCACGAATTTAAAAAGAGGTTAACAATAAATAAAAAAAAAAGCTATCATCCATTTTGCCTTTTTTTTATGTCGTAATCAGTGTTGGCTTGACCAGACCAATTTGACCAATTTGACTGGTCTGGTTAAAGAATCTGTACTGGTCAAATTGGTCAAGTAGTATATTTATTATATAATAAATATATTATTTTCATATAATAAATTTGACCAGTAAATTTTTGGTTGACCACTAATTTGCCCAACACTGGTCGTAATATATAATTTCTACAACAAAATAAATAATATTTATAAAATTTATGTTATTATTATTTCATAAGCTATTTAATGACCATCTGTTTTTTTTTTTAGAGTATTGCTAATCTTAACCGGGGGTAATTTTCCCTGGGGGTGTTTGGAAGTGCTATATCTCAAAAACGTACT